ATATGTAACGCGATCATTTTCTAGTAACTGACATGAAAGTAGGACAAACATCAAAGATATACATCATTTTATGGAGATTACTTCATCTCTTAGTTAGAGCATTAGCACAATAGTTGGATTTCCAATACACATGTTTGACCAACTTTAAAGTCTGTTCGGGAGTTTAGAAGAGAAATTGAGGGGATGGTTTTGAAAAAAGGAAAGAATTTTAAAAGGATTAAAGAATTTTGATTGAGAGAGTTTAAGAAAGTTTACTTTTTTTTTATAATACTATAAATCCTCTCATTTTTTAAAACTTAAAATTTATATTGAAAAAATATTTTGAAGGATTTATATAAATTATATAAATATATTTCTTTTTGTTATAATTAAGGGTGGTAAAACGACCGTTGAGAATATCTATTTTATCCGTATTTTAGAGTAGGGTTGGTCAAAAATTCAGACTCTCACCCTCTTATGTGACCGTCTCGTTCCACTCCGTTTTCTTCGCGGATTTTTGTGGTCATGAATATTAGCATAAAATTTTGTATTTTTAAACCTAAAAAATAAAGTTTCCGCGAGTTTTCTTCACCCCACATTTACTTTTTTGCGGGACGAGCCTAAGTTTTAGATCCTTATCCTTAACTATATTTGTCTCATTTTTTTGCGGGTTTTTTTGGGACGGATCTAAACGGGACTGACATATCCGTTTGTCACTCTTAATTATAATATTATAAAAATATAAAATATAAAATGATTAACATTTTTTATTATTTTCTAATTTATACAAAATTATTCTTTAGAAAATATATAAATTTTTTTATATTTTTTAAAAGATTCATTTATATATGAAAAATAAAGTAAAAAATAGATTATACAATATGTAAATATGGTGTGGGTGGTATTTTAAGTGTCAATGTAACATTTCTCTTTTTAAATTGACTTTCGTGTATGAGTATATTTAAAATTGATATCAATTTTTTTATATTTTAATGGGAATATTAGTAGTTTTAATTAAAACTATTTCGAAATCACTAACAAATATGTTAGTAATTTAAAAGAGTACTTATATTTACTGACAATTTTTCTCTCTCTAAATCTATTCTATAAGAATATTTAAGACTCTCTAAATCTAAAATATAAGAATATTAACTCTATTTTGAAATCATAGCTTCTACATCTTCTTATCAAATTAAAGGTAATTTGTGTTTAAAAAGTTTATTATAAATAATATAAACATAAAAGTATTTATTAATTACATTATGGAGTAATCCTTTTGATTAAAATATTAAATTTGACTAATAGTAAGGGTAAAACAATTTTATCAACCACTAATCTTTTAATGTTGATTTGGTATTTAATGATGTTGATGAGGCAGAACTAGATTTTGTTTGGTTGGGATTTGGTACTCTACATTGAAAACAACCTAACTCTCTCATTCCATCATTAACATTGACAGACTTATCAATTTTTTATTAAACACTTAACATAGTCACATATTTTCAAATATTGAGAACCTTTAAATTTCATCTTTCTGTCCGACTCAACAACACTCCTTTCTTGAATCAGAATTCTTCACCCATGATGTACAGGACTTAACTTGGGATCGTTGATTCTATTATAAATAGGATTTGATTAATTTTGACTAATTTTGATCATAATTAAAATTAGTTTTTCATTTTCTTCATGCATTTTTGTTATGAAAAATCTAATTTAGATCATTTTTGTTTCTTGGCTGTTACGGATATAAATCAATTGGATTGAAATAATTTTTTTAAATAATTATTCGGTCAAAAGTTATTTTATGATTTGATCGAAATTTTAACTTAGATCGTAAGTTTTTTAGTTGTTGATGAAGGACTAGAATTTTGTTGATTGTTCTGTATATTATTGTATGGTGGAATTGTTTTTTGTTCATTCTAATGCGTGAACTGAACTTCGTGTTTTTCGGTTGGTGTTTAGAATCGAGTGAGTTGCAACTATAAGAAAATGAAATTTCTATGGAGAAAAGTACGAAAAGAAAGCTCAAAACGCTAAGGGTCTGGAGAATTTTTATTCAGGTAGGGACTAGGGATACATTATATTTTTTTTGTTTTGTTCACTACAAAAAAATAAGTTCTGTTTTGTCACGTGAATCTCACGTCGCTAACACCAAAATCATGTCACAACTTCATTTTTACCACTTTAAGAAACACGTCGCTGGAGAGCGCGTGGCAATGTTGTTGCGGCGTGGAAAACATGTCACAATGTTGCCACGTGAAATTCACGCCGCAACAAACTTTATAGGGTTAAAGGAATTCAGAGCAGAGCAGAGGTCAGAGCAGGTTTTCTATTTACTTTTATGTTTGGTGTTGCGGCGTGTTTTTCATGTCACTAATTAGTGACGTGGAAAACACGCCGCAACTTGTTTTATTAAAAAAAATTATTTTCTGTTTTAAATATATTAATTCTGATATAAGAATTAATATTATTTTTTGTTTCATTAAATTTATAAATTAAATATTATAATTTATTTATTAAATACAATATTATAAATCAAATTATCAAAAATAAAACTAAATATATCAAAATGTATAAATTAATATACTTAATATTATAAATTTAATAAACTAAAATTTAAATTTAATATTTTTAAATATACAATATGATTATAAATTTATATTACACAAATAAAAAACTAAATAGAAAATAAAAATAAAACTAAGCAGAAGGATCATTCGAGTCGTCGGAAAAATCGCGAAGAAAGTCATCATTATTTTGGTGGTTATTATTTTGGCCACCACTGTTGGGATTTCTACCAAATGCTTGCATAAATTGTCGCATTTGCTCCTCCATATCAACCTGCCTCTTCGCCATTGCCTCCATTTCTCTATTATGTTCACCCCTCATTGCCTCCATTTGGGCCTTCAATGCGGCCCCACGTTCTTCGAACTCGCGTCTAGCCAATTGTCTTACCGGTTCTAACTGATCTGGTGTCAAATTTGTTTGACGTGACCCTCCTTCACCGTCCGCAGCTCTGTGATACAGATTTCTATCCCCACTCCTCAAGGTGCCCGCCAAATTTCCACCAACAAAAAACACCCGTTAGGCCCCTTTCCCCCAACAACTTGACTCCAAATATAGAAATTCACATCTAGATGAACTGGTTTTCCTGGGGGAGGAGTATACTGAGGATTATGGGTCATAAATTCTACAAGCAAGGCCTGATAATCCTCTTACACATACAATAAAAAATCAAGTTAAATATATATGTAAAATTAATGAAATTAAATTAAATAAAAATAATAATAAAAAACAAATAGCCACATGATTGTAACACCACAACTTATCAGTTGCCACTCAATTTTCACGCCACAACATCTCACTTGCTACGTGAAAATCACGTCACAAAATTGCTTAAAAAAATATATATAAACATAAATTTACTTACCAGGGCTTTTTTTGTACGCTCGTTAATAAATCCTTCTGATTTCTTTGTCCGAGTTTCGATAACCAGCTCAGTCATCAATGGTTGTCTCCCCAAACGCTTAGCCTAAATTAAAAAAATTAACTTAAATTAATAATATATGTTATAAATCCAAATATGACTTTAAAAAGTGGTAATAATTACCATGCGTCGAGCATGCTCAACAGTACTAATACTTCCAACAGCATTAAGGCAACCCCCTTTTTCCTATGCCCTCATCTTCTTTGCATTTTCAAATTTAGCCTTAAATTCATCTGATTCCCAATACTTAAGAAGTTGTTCAAAAACTTCTTTGCCTATCCATTTGGGATGAATGCCCAAAAGTTGCCAATTCTCTCTAACACGTCGTAGCATGTCAGAAAGTCGTCTTGAACTCCTGCCAAAATATTTTTTTTTTACTTTGTTATAGTTCAGTGGATCCCAAACACATTTCGCCTGCAATGTTGTATAACATTAAAATAAATAGTTAGATAAATTATAACAATAATGAAAAGGTCATTTAAATAAAAATAACTTAAGAAATAAATTAATTATACCTGAAATTGCTTAAACCATTCGTCTTTATCGGAAACTTCTCTAAAACTCTTCAAAAAATTTGTTTAATTCTGCTGAATTATATAATTTATAACCCTAGCAGCAGCCCGACTCGGCCCGAAATTAAAACAACAATAATTGAATTAGCATAATTAAATATATAAAGTTATATTAAAAATGGAAATGTGTACTTATAAATAAAAATCAATAAATAAGAAACTTACGAGTTCCCTTCAGGCCAAATCCAAAATCTCCCATCAATGGTATGAATCTCACTCGGATCATCATCCCCTCGAAGATCTCTCCCATCTATCTGATCATCGCCCACACCAAGATCGTCATCATCTGACTCTGCATGATCATCGGATGCAGGTACATGTGTGGGATGTGGGGTGCGACCAGTCTGTGTGGGTCGTGAAGAGGTGGATGCTTCAGGCTGCTGGACGGATGGGGGCATCTGTGTAGGAAGTGGGGTGCTGTATCCTCCAGGCTGCTGCACGAATGAGGGTATCTGTGTGAGAAATGGAAAACTGTGCTGGAAGGATGAGGGCACTTGTGTCTGCTGGAATGGTAAACTAGGTGGGGCCCCAGATGGACTAATAAAACATGGACTCCCAGATGGGAACTGAAGAGGACTCAGAGGATAATAATGGCATAAATGGCATAGTACTGTCCATGGACATATGATGAACCTGACTCTGTGGGGGAGGACACGTGGCTGAGTGAGGTGACTGGCATACTACTACCCTTGGACGCCTGGGCTTCCTACCACTATCACTAGGACCTTTACCCTTATTATCCTTGGGTGGCATTTTTACCTATTTATAGAAAATACAAGTTAACATATAATATATTTGAAAAGCACATTTATCATGAATACATATTCATTAACTCATTCAATAGATGGTTCGTCAAGTAAAATTACAAGACATAATTCTCATGAATACATATTCATTAACTCATTCAATAGATGGTTCGTCAAGTAAAATTACAAGACACAATTCTCATGAATATAGGTTCACTATTCTAAATCGTCATGCTCGTCATCCATATCATCCTCGTCATCTGATGTGATATTGTCCTCGGATCCAGAATCTTCATGATCTTCATCCTCATCAACTTGATTCCCCTTAACCATTGTATCAGACAAACTTGTAGTGTGTTCATCTGGAATCACATCATTAACTTCAACTTCATCAACTTGGTAAGCAGCATCTTCCACTAGATCGTCAGTTCCAATATGACCCAATGGTTTTGTTTTTATTACAACACAACACTGTCGTTTACGTGGCACAAATGAAGGATAAGGAACATAATAAACTTGCCTAACAATATTTGACATTATGAAAGGGTTGTACGCTTTGTGCCTCCGGTCCATTTGAATCTCAACAGTACCATATGTCTTATCTATTTTTGTGCCTCTAGTTGAATCATACCATTCACAATAAAATAAGACAACTTTATTTTCCGATTCCAAGTAATTGTATACTAACTCGTAGATATGTTTAACAAAACCATAGAAGTCATCTTCACCACCATCTGTAACTTCTTTCACAAGTACGCCACTGTTTATGGTTTTTTTCCCTTCAGTCCATTCATGAGTGTGAAGTTTATATCTGTTCATGAAGTATGTGTGCCATTTGTTTGCACTTTGACGAGGGCCATTAGACAAGTTTCTCAAATGAAGTATTTCTGGAGTCGTTGCAACAACCCTATACAATTTCTCCTTGAACCATGTTGGAAATTGGGCATGAATGACACCAGATGTTGATTGTACACCGGTACTATCAAAATAGGCGTTGTTAAATTTTCTAAAAAGAAACACACTATAAGTTTCAAGGTAATCAATTTTATATTCACACTGTAAAGAAACTTAAAAAGTTGGATTATACTTACTCAAGATATGGTTTAACTTCAATGCAGTTGATCAAGACATGAACATGTGCAGATTGCATTTCTTGTTGGGTCAACAAATGCTCACCCTTCTTTCCAGAGGGACAAACTGGAAGCCCGAAGACTGATAAGGTGTACTGACTTCTTTCGATAATATTTACAGGATTCCTTATGATTCTTGGAGTTAACATCAAGTGCTTGAAATAGTGACTGCAAAAATGTGAAGTTTCTCGATGCAAGTAATGTGCACATATTGATCCTTCAACTTTAGCTTTATTTTTTACTGATCGCTTTGAATCACCCATGAACCTTTCAAACGGATACATCCACATATATTGAACAGGTCCTCCTAGATAAGCCTCGTATGCAAGATGCACAGGTAGATGTTCCATGGAGTCAAAAAAACCAGGCGGAAATACTTGTTCCAACTTACAGAGAATGACTGGAATATTTTGGTCCAACTTAATGATGCCATCCACTCTTAAAGCTGACGCACAAATATCTCTAAAAAATTGACTAATTTCAGTGAGTGGATTAAGCACATGTTTGGGTAGAGAACCGAACGCAATTGGTAGCAATTGTTCCATAAAAATATGGAAATCATGACTTTTCATACCATGCAACTTCCCAGTGTTAGCATCAACACACCTTGCTAAATTTGAAGAATACCCGTCGGGCATTCTCAAACCTTTTATCCATCCACAAACCGCTTTAGCTTCTTGGGGGGTCAGACTGAAACAAGCTTTGGGTTTAAATAATTTTCCATTTGGTTGAGGCTTCAATTCCAACTCTTTACGATTACACCAAATTTCCATGTCTTGTCTAGCCTTCACATTATCTTTTGTTCTGTCTTTAACATCCATCACTGTGTTAAATACGTTATCAAAAAAATTCTTCTCAATATGCATAACATCAAGATTATGGCGCAACAAATTATCTTTCCAATACAGGAGGTCCCAAAATATACTTCTTTTTGTCCAATTATGTGTGGCCCCATATCCTTCAATTCTACATGCTTTGTCAGTATCTATAAACTTTGGAAGTTCACAAACTTGGTTCCATATAGCAACTGGTGACAATCGAGGCGGAGGCAGATCTGTTACCCGTTTGTCCTCTTTGAAATTTGTCTTTTTTTTTCTAAAGGGAGGATTTGATGGTAGGAATCCTCGGTGACAGTCAAACCACGAGCTTTTCCCCCCTTTTTTCAATGTAAACGCCTTAGTGCATTCCATGCAATGCGAACAACCTATTCTGCCATGCGTACCCCAACCAGACAACATGCCATATGCTGGAAATTCGTTAATGGTCCACATCAAGGCAACTCACATAGAAAAGTTTTGTTTACGGGATATATCATAAGTCCATTCTCCATTATTCCACAACCTCTTCAAATCATCAATTAAAGGTTGTAAGTACACATCAATTCCAGTTTTTGGACTCGACAGTCCTGGAATGATGTACGTCAAAAACATGTATGGTTTTGTCATGCACATCTCAGGAGGGAGATTGTAAGGGGTTACAATAACTGGCCAACAAGAATAGGCACTTCCAGACGCTTGGACATATGGAGCAAAACCATCAGAGTATAATCCAAGCCTGACATTTCTAGGTTCCGCGACAAAATCAGGATGTACCTCATCAAAGTGCTTCCATGCATGGCTGTCAAATGGGTGTCGCATATTGCCTGGGCTTGTTTTGTTTGTATGATGCCATGTCATTTGACTTGCACTGTGCATTGAAGAAAAAAATTCTTTTTAACCTTGGTATTATCGGAAGATAAAACATGGACTTTACTGCTACACGTTTTTGCTTACTGTTAATGGCTCTATTGCGAACTTTATATCTTGGACTCTAACAAAACTTACATTCCTCTGACGATCCATCTTGAGTACCAAACTCGTTGTCATAAAACAACATGCAACCATTAATACAACAATAAATCTTTCTTACTCTTAAACCCAACTTCGACACCAACTGCTTTGCATCATAGAAACTCGCAGGCAAGTTTTCTTTCGTTGCAGTTGAGTCCAACGTCATTTTTGCGAAGTGCTCCAAACACTGATCAGGAACATTCCAATTTGACTTGGTGGCCAATAATCTCACACACATTGATAGCTTTGAGTCTTACGACCCCTCAAACAACGGCGTATTCATCTCATTCAACAACTGATAAAATCTCTGCGCTTCCTCATTCGGCAACTCTTCCCCGTCAAAATCTTCTGGTTGATCATAGGTCACGTTAACACCAAAAGCATCACCAACCATGTCACCTATCAGATTAAAGTTTTCCTCAAATTCCATAGGCGGTTGCATAGCCGGTTGACTACATGAAGCATCTGTGTTGCTAGTCTCTGGTACATTACTCGGCAGTGTTTCACCATTATACGTCCAAACCCAATAATTTTCAATGAAACCTTTTCTATGCAAATGACGTGTTATTTCCTCTGGGTCACTAATTATATATCTACATTCACATTTAAGACAAGGACACCTAACTCCTCCTTCACTTCGACAACGTTCCTGAGCAAACGTCCACGTGATAAAACAATTAACTTCGTCTATAAAATTGGGTTTAAGTGCGCGTCTTCCTGGATATAGTATATCGTACATCCAACTACGATAATACCTATAATATTCCATTTACTGCAAATTTATATAATCAAAACCTATATAATTAGAAATATTAATTAATCAACTTAATAATAATCCTAAACATATACTATTAAACATAAATATATGCTTTTACTTTAACTATTTTTAATATATAATATTTTTTATTATATACTATTAAATATACTATATATTAATATAGTTTATTAAATATATAATAATTAATAAAAAAATATGATATCTGTCAAATATGACACATTTGTCCATGGCTTTTTTTATTAATAAATAATAAATATTAGTATTAATTTTACTTTATTTTCAATTACGCATAAATTTGTCTTCATTTCCATTTATTTACAATTATGTATTGATATTTAAAACGGCTCATTAAAGAAAAAATCATATTCACTAAATATATTTGACTTTAGCACTCATAAATTAAATATATAAATTATTAATATTATTATTCCTAACTCATTTATTATACATAAACTTAATAATATTTACTTTCATAAAATATTAATATTTAAATTAATATGCACTGCAAAAAATTAAAAATAAAAATAAATTTTATTTTTTTAACTAAGAAAAAATATTATACAATCCAACCCATAAAATTTTTAAACTTTTTTAAATTTCAAAAAACATCAAGTAGCTATTATACTTTTTCTAATTCTAACTTATTAGACTTAACAACATTCTATTAAAATAATTCATCCAAAAAAAAAATATTTTCAGTTAAGACAAAAAAATTTAATTTAAATACTTAAAATTTATAAACTCCTAAAAATATTTTTTTACTTTCTTTATAAATTAATAAATAAAAACTTATAAGGATAAAATCTTTTTGATTTTTAAATTGCAAATGATTAAAATGATTATTGTTATTATTTTTATTATTCACTAAGTTACTACATAAATTAATAATTATAACTATTGTATTCATCATAATTTATTTATTTATTTGTGTTTTTCACTAATTACTATATTTATTATTATTTATTTTGTAATATTAATTTACTTATTACTAAATTTTTATTATATACCCCTAAGAATATAATCAACTTAAATTTTAAATGGTTATAAAGATATAAAATATAAAGTAATAACGATATAATATTTTTTATTTTTAAATTTAAAATAAACTAAATAATAAAAATGATTAATATTATTATTCCTAAAAAATTAAATATTTTTATTCTGTTTTTATAAATTAAATAAAAACATATTCAACCAAATTCAATTAAAATTACAAAATTATAATTTAACCAAATCTTCTTGAAATACTAAATTCAAAAAAAAAAATTCAAGAAATACCTCTTATCTTCTAACTCCTTCAATCTTCTTGTCCAACCTTTTTGCAATCTACTTCTATCAATCTTCTTCTATTCAAAGAAAAATTAAAAAAAATTACAATCCCATAATACAATAAATAAAAACTTGTTAACAAAATAGAGACAAAATTGAATTGAATTTACCTTAAAACAAGAATTAATGGAGATTGAAGAGATTTTATATTGGAGAAGAAGAAATTTTATGAAGAAGAAAATGGTTAATGGAGGGATGGAATGAGGAGAAGAGGGTTGAAGAAGAACAATTGTTACTCTAAGATAACAATATTGTCTGTGGAGCGTGATTGAAATAAATATATAAAGCACTTAGCGACGTGAAAATTACGCTGCAACGTTGTCACGTGATTTTCACGTCGCAACCATCCCAACAATCATATTCTCTTTCTTCACATGCCTTCAAAGCCTGCACACTTAGCACGTCGCAACTTACTTTTTCAAAATTTCAAAATGACAATCATCTGAACGTTAGACCAATTAAATTATTTTTTATTGTATTTTTAGTAGCGACGTGAATCCCACGTCGCAACATATTTTTTTTTATAAAAAAAGTCAGACAACCATCAGACTTTTTTTATTTTATTAATAAAACATGTTGCCACGTGATTTTCACGTTGCAATGGCTTTTTTTAACCACATGAAAATCACGTGGCAAAATCACGTGACTGGAGATGATATTTCTTATAGTAATTTACATAGCACAAATATCTGAAGTAGGAGTTGAAATTAGTGATTGTGTATATGAGTCTGTTGAAAATATTTTCATGGTGGA